CAGAGAGTGATTAAAATGTGGAATTCACTGCCAGAGAATGTAGTGATGGCCACAGGAACAGGCAACCTTAAAAGGGGATTAGATAGATTCATGGAGGATAGGTCTGTCAGTGGCTACTAGTCATGATGACTGAGGGGAACCTCCCCCTTAGGTTGGTAGCAGGCCAATCGGATAGAATCAAGGTACAATTTCTCCTTGCTTCACGAGATCCGGAGATCATTGAACTGACCGCTAAGTTTCTCCATGGTTTTATAAAACGGAAGAGTGACCCTGATCATATTAATGATTCTTAATTTATAAGTCTAAAAACTTAAGTTTAAAAGTTTAGAATGCCAATTTATTTTATGATTCAGGCATCTTTTGTATGGTCAAATCTAGCTTGTGACAACTTGAGTTAGGCCTGACATAGCCACGACTATCTATTTTATAATTTCTTTTGGATTGTATTATTGGTAAATGCTTCTAATATTGTATGCTAATAAAAGGTATTTGAATTGAATTGAATTGACTGAGGGGAACCTCCACACTAAGCCTCTGAATCTCAGAGCTGGGAGGCAACATCAGGGGAAGGCCTCAGCCTCTATGCCCTGTTGTTGGCCCTCCACAGGCACTGATTGGCCACTGTGTGAGACGGGACACAGGACTAGATGGACCACTGGTCTGATCCAGCAGGGCTCTTCTTATGTTCTCAGATGCAGGGGTTTGGAGGGAGGTGTCATTCTCCTCTTCAGCAGAATCAGTGGGTGTACTGGATGTATATCTGAAAGGGGTACTGCCTTGTGCAAGGGCCGATTCATCAAAGCTTAAACCCAACAAGGCAAGATGCTGTGGGTTGAAAGTATTGCCCTTTAAAGAGTTAGCCTGGCCTGGATGGGGTCGCACCCCCTCTGAAAGAGCAGATGTGCAGCTTGGAGATGCCATTAGATCTGTGTTTGGAGGCGAAGGTCTCTGCTGTATCATACATTGTCTTTCCCATCGTCTTTCAGTGACCAGCTGTGGCCTTTCTGCGAGAAGAGGGACTGGCACTTTAGCCTTGTGCAGATGACCCATCCACACGTTGACTCACCAAGCGGGAGGGACAGTGGGCAAGAGCGTCCTGGCCCTGGCCCTGCTCCTCTTCGCCAATTTATCTGCACAGTGTGAACACCCCGAGGAAGGGCCCATGCTTACACCTCCTTCCCATGAACGGAGAAGCCCGTTCTTGCTGGTCATGGAGAGACGAGTAAGCCCGGGCACTTCTCCATGCATTCACACTGTGCGGACGACTCAGGGGGGGGGGGGGGGGGGGCAGGGCCAGCTCACTCATGTCCTCCTTCCCTTTCTGCGTGGGGAATCAACACGCAGATGGGTCATCTGCACAAGGCTTTTATGAGAGTTATTATTAGTGGCATTGTTGTTCGCATGGCCCTTCCTTACACGCCCAGGGAGATGCCGATTGCCACTTTGGGGTCAGGAAGCAATTTTCTCCTGGCCAGTTTGCCCAGGGATCCTGGAAGCCTTTGTCATCTTCTCAGCATGGAGCAGGGGTCACTGGGGGTATGTGTGTGGGAGGTAGTTGTGGATTTCCTGCCTTGTGCGGGGGGTTAGACTAGATGACCCTGGAGGTCCCTTCCAACTCTATGATTATATGATCGTTGTATCAAAGTTTACATGTTCTTGGACTTCGCAACTAAACACTTTCAATCTATGGTTACTCCTGGATAACTGTACCAGTGGGTCTCAACACTTATGCGGACGTATTAAATACCATTTTAAAAGGCTCAGAGGGTGGCATCTTCAATTACTTCAGGTGAACGTTGGAACCTGCCTTTTACTGCGTTAGATCATTGATCCATCTCACTTAAGTATTGTCTGCTCTGACCAGCAGCAACTCTCCACGGCCTCGGGCAGAGAACCCCTGCTGCTACCCAAGATCCTTTTCAAGGGGGGTGGCAGGGACCGGTCCTTTGCCAATGAAGGCTTGCATGTGAGAATCTAATCCTGCAGTGGCGTGGGCACTGTGATTGGCATTAACACACACCTGCTGCAGAAAGCAGTTTCTCTTTTGTTTCCGGGAACTCCTTGTGCTCCAGTTTTCCCTGGCCAGGAAAGTGCATTTCCATTTACCTAAATTAGGCTGTTTGCCAATATGCATAAATTCAGAAGGCTTTGCATGCGTGCCCTTGCAGCAGCACGAGCAGAGATAACAAACATTCACAAAGCTTGGGGTTTTTTTTGTCTTGAATGGTTAAACCTCCTTTCATGTCTTCCTTTAGGGCTAACTGAATAATCCATTAATGCATACTCTTTAACATCTGTCACAGGGAGAAAAAGCCTGCTTATTAGCACTATATAATGGAGTGGCTCTTTGTTGCAAGAATGGGAAGACCAAGGGGAGTGATAAAACTAGCTGCTTCTCTTGGATTCAGTTGCTGGCTTGCGAGTATTTGCAGAATCATGGGTTGGATCCAGTTGACTTTTTGTTGTTGTTGTTGATGATGCAAGAGGGAGGAGGGACCCTCATTTGATTCCTGAATAGGCTATGCCAGGGATCTGGGGATCTGCATGAACAAAGAGTCACGTAAGACAAGATGGCACTGAGTAGATCAGGTGCAATCACTCCTCTCGCATTAGTGGGAAAGCTGGTAGGATTCCAACCCATACAGTTGCAGGATGCTCATGAGCCAACTTCTCCAATCCCTTGCAATGGCAGATTTTCGGGGTCCACATGGGCTGGGCCAGTGGGGCTGTGGCTCAATGGTAGGACACCTGCTTTGTATGTAGTAGGTGCCAGGTTCAGTCCCCAGCGTCTCCAGTTAAAGGATCTCAACCAGCAATGCTGGGAAATCCCTTGCTTACCTGAGTCCTTGAAGAGCCACTGCCACTCACCGTAGACAAGACAGTGGACCAAGGATCTGAATCATTACGAAGCAACTTCGTGTGTGTGTGTGTGTGTGTGTGTGTGTGTGTGTGTGTGTGAACATTGTTGTGAATTCTTGATTGTGATTCTTTTCTCCCACTGCATTACAGAATTTAAGTACCTTAACTTGTAGGGAGACCACAATCACATCATTCCTGAAACTCCTGTGACTTCAGCAGGCATGGAGTGAGGAAGAGGCATTGCTCGTAGTGGTTCTCGGGATCTAACTTTGCTGCTAGCCTAGTTTAATGCACATGGCATCTTTATTGAGCCCTCTGTTCTCTTTTACCACTTATGCATTTCTGGAGAGGTACGGAATGAGATTAATTTTCATCCCGCACTTCTCAAGTGAAGCTGCCCTGTGTTGAGTCACAGCATTGGTCCATCTGGCCCAGTGCTGTCTGCTCCCTCTTGAATAATGGAACACAGTCCTAGCTCCCCTTCCAAGCAGACAGCAAAGTCATAAGAACCTAAGAAGAGCTCTGCTGGATCAGACCAGTATTCCATCCTGTCTCACACAGCGGCCAACCAGGTCCTCTGGACAACCAACAGCAGGGCATAGAAGTCGAGGCCTTCCCCTGAGGTTGCCTCCTGGCTCTGGGATTCAGAGGCTTAGTGCCTCTGAATGTGGAGGTTCCATGGTTTCTAGCAGGGGTTCTTCCCAGTCTTCCTGGGCAGCCTGCCGTCCAAGTATTGACTCCACTTAGCTTCCAAGCTGTCATGAGATCAGGTTAGTCTGGGCTATTAGGTCTGCTGCCCCCCAGAAGGAGAGGGGTTAATTTGCAGATGCCGCAGAGGATGGCATAAAATTATGGGAAATTAAAAATATAAATACTATTAGCAGAGTTTTTGCTTTGTTGTATTGAGGGGGAGATATTTGTACTTCATTTGGAATACTGTGTACAGTTCTGGTCACCACACTTCAAAAAAGGTATTATAGTGCTGGAAAAGGCACAGAAAACTAAAATGATTCAGGGGATGGAACACCTTCCCTATGAAGAAAGGTTAAAGAGTCTCTTTACCTTGGTTAAAGAGCTCTTTAGCTTGGAGAAACAGTGATTGAGCAGTTACACAATAGAAGTTTATAAAATTATGCCTGGGATAGAGAAGATAGAGAAAGGAAGTCCTTATCTCCATTTCTTACAATGTGAAAACTTGTGGGCACCAGGGCTCTAGTCGGGGGGGAGCTCTCAGGTACGGAGAAGAGGGGATTAGATAGACATATGGAGCAGAGGTCCATCAGTGGCTATGAGCCACAAGATATAGATGGAACACTGTCTGGGGCAGTGATGCTCTGTGTCCTTGGTGTTTGGGGGGGCACAGTGGGAGGGCTTCTGGAGTTCTGGCCCCACTGGTGGGCCTCCTGATGACACCTGGGTTTTGGCCACTGTGTGACACAGAGTGTTGGACTGGATGAGCCATTGGCCTGATCCAATATGGCTTCTCTTATGTTCTTATATATATATTTTTGGCAATCCTGGATATTATAAGATAAAATAGTAATACAAATAAAATGTTGATTCTGCATGCAGGCAAAAAGAATAGTCCCCATAGGCAGAAGATTGAGTCTTTTTTTTTTTTTTAATTTTTAAAGCTTAGGAGAAGAACCATGACAGCAATTTAGTAAATTATGTCCAGTGTGCAAAAAGTGGCAAGAGATATTTTTTTCTCCCTCTCTTGCAATACAAGAAGTGGGGGGCAATGAAGTTGTTGGATGGTAGATAGACTGACACGAACGAAACCACTATTCTGCACAAAGCATAATTCATTTCTAGAACTATTCCCACAAGACAGTGACTCCTAGTCCAATAAATACTAGTATACTGCATGTGTGTGCTAAAGTTAAGTTTCTACACTGGTTCAAATAGTGCCCCCAGAGGGCTGTTTCAGGTCAGGAGAAGTAGCATGAGTGAAGGAAGACTTACCCCCTCTTATAGGGCTGCCAAGTGGGGGCGGGTAAACCCCCGCTTTGGAGGCCCGATTTCTGCCGCCGTGGAATTGGGCCCCGGGGGGAACTCCCCCCCCCCGAAGCGCAGCATGGCTGTGTCACCGGAGGTGACGCAACAACGTCAATCACGTTGGGGATGTGGCCCCAGTCATCGGAGGGAAAACTCTATGGTTTTCCCTCCGACGA